GAGGCTAGGCCGGAGTAGGTACAGCCGAAAGAGGAACTGCCTGCTTATGAGCGCGCATGGTTACGCATTGGCTGGAGACCTACGGCGCTATTAACTTTTGCCGGTGTTTCTCTTGTCTGGATTTCGGAGTTCAAGCGTAGTCTGCAGCTTCTAGCTCTGAGGTAAGTAAAGTTAATGCATGTTGAAGCAGGGCGTTGGCTCTGGGGCTTATTTAAGAGTAAAATTTTTGGCCTACGGCAGCACCCCCGTGCCTGTCAGAACCCCAATCACTCATTCCTCCAACTTTGCCTGACTACAAACGGTTCTGAATCCCCACTTTGCCTACAATAACTGGTTGCCACATGTGACGAAATATCCCCGGATATTCAGATTAGTAGACATGTCACCTCGAAAGTTCGGAGGGTCCTCTCGTCAAGCCTCTCAACGACTGGGAAATTAGACACTACCTAGTGGCTCGTTAAGCAAGGCTTGTGCTGGACGGGATTTTGAGACGCCAAGGACAAGCTTGAGTTAATGTGACAAAAGTAAACTGATACAGACTACTGAAGTGATACAGACTACTGAAGTGACGAATCAGAACGGGTAACGAATACGAAAAAAGAAACCAAAACAATTATCAAACAGGTTTCTCTGAAACAAATACTAGCTAATCGGACATGAAAGAGAGCTATGACAAATCTAATACATGAAGAGAGTGCTGGAGCTATGAGTTTTGAGATTAAGCGCCTAAATTCTAAAAACAGAGAATAAATACCTAAGCATGACAAATCAATTATATGTTCACCGACATCATGGTATTTCACACAATGCATTAGAATTTCAACACTATCGCATGTAACAACTCACCCTTGCGTTGGAGTTAAAATCCTATGAGAGAGGAACTAATATGCCAGTCGGAATAAGCAACTTAACTGACTGCTACCAGCAATGTAACGCCCGTTTCACAGTTGGTCATGCTTGATCTTAGCAGTTTAACGGCAAATAGTAGGAAATTTCCAGCCCACTATGTTAGACCGTAGCGCAAGAGCCTAACAATATCTTCACTCCGTATGTTAAATGTTTACCGTACAACAACACACTGACCTTTCCACCAATACCTCAAGCAATGCCTCCATTTAAAACATCCCTGCCCCTAAATCACAATACCATACCAGTAACCCGGCAGCATGAGAGACAGTCAGAACACAAAATATAATTCAACCAGTACCACCAATCAATACCACCAGCGCTACCCTTAAAAAAGCCAGTAACAGCCTCTACACTGAAACCATTTACTCATATCACACATCAGAACTGCTCAACTGCTGGCTTCCTCCACTACCAAATACAGGCAAATCTGAACTATCCCTTCACAGATCAACAAGATGGGCAATTTTTTACTGGTCACTGCTTACCCTTAAACTGTTATTACAACAAAATCAACAATAACATCGTTTGGAGAGACCCAGCTGTGACCGCGTATTGGTTTTAGCCTTGGCTGGGCCAGAAAAGCCAGTAAAAATTGGATTTCTTGACTCTAATGCTCAGAATTTGACCACTGCTTTTGTTTCCTCATTGATGACAGTTTTCTGCACATGAAGTTGGGCCAGCTCTGCTGTATGTATGGATCTTATATTCACCCAAGCAGGCCATGGACTGCCTCAAAATAAAATAGCTATTGATGGGAACCCAAGTAATTCATTGTTGTCACATGCTGTGTGGTGATATTACCAATCCAATCATTTCTAGAATGTGATTCCAGATACATGAGAAAAAGTGAGGATGTTACGTTTGATGCAACTGTTTCCAGCGCAATACCTCATCTTCATACACTGCATGAACTAGATGACTTCTTTGATCTTCGCATATGGTGAAGGATTTGATCTTCGCATATGGGAAATCGAAGGTATTGCCATCTATTTCCAAATATAAAAAATCATTAGATTTCACTAGCAGTATTAATATGTAAATACTTAACTAGCAAGAATGAAATGAAACTATGGTGATTTAAAACTTTTGAGAAAATCTGTAAAAAATTAGAAAATTAGAGATTGGCGAAATTGCCTATGCATACCTGATTTGATACCAGAGCAGAAATGTTCTGAGAAGAGTTTGGGTGAGCATTGCAAGCCTCAACTTTAGTTTCCATCTTGAACGGCACACAAGAGGAGAGTGTAGATGCCGGGCTGAGATGCACAGGTGAACAAGCCTGAGGAGATGTGGAGGACAATGTTGATGTGGCTGCTAGTGATGTGAGCATTTTACAAGATATAGTAGTATATGACTCTTGTGACTTTCTGGAGAAAAGTGGAAGACAATGTTGATGTGGATGTAATGATGTGTGCATTGCAAAAGGAAGGATATTATAATATTGGAGTCCTCATCGAATTCTCTAAAAGTTTCTAATTTCACAGAAGCACATGAATGTGCTGGCATCACAAATTACTGGTTATAAAATGTCTTCTCATATTATTGCTTCATAAGGCACATATTTTACTTGTTTTTTTCAAATTCAAATAGATACATAGGCATATGGGTCAATTTCGGAAAGAAAGGCACACTTTTAGCATGTTTTTCTTCAATATTTCTTTATTGAACTTCTTTACTTGTATTGTATTGACTTTGCATCACTTTAATTAAAAATATGTTTCAATTGACAGGAATGTTGCCAGTAAGTACCTACTATTCTTTGCAATTCTCCTCTATATTCTCATCTATTCATTGCAGGGTTGGCAATGATTAAATCAAAATGATTAAATCATGTGATTAAATCACTTGATTTTTTTATAAATAATCATGATTTTTTGATTTTTTCGATTTTTTTTATTTTTTCATATATTTAAAAATATTGAGTGGCAGTCTTTAATTTATATTGAGGTATTGTTATTCATGGTTTAGTATAAATGTACTACTATGAATGACAAATTGGTATATAAACTTGTTGCCTTTAGTGTGTATTAGGTTCCAATAAATGGAATGTTTTTGGTACAGAGGCATCAAGAGTGCAATACATTGTACGTAGCTAGCAGCTTAGCTAGTTCTTATAAGGCTATAAGTAGTCTTTAACTATTTAAATATTTGTTATATATTGATTACAATATTCAATTTAAATGTGTTAGCTAGCTTATGCAGGGTGGGGCAGAACTGATTGAACAGTTTTGAGGCAAAATAAAAGAGTAATGGAGGTACATAAAGAAGAAAGTTTATTTACCTCATGATTAGCATAACATACCATTTAAAATACTTATGTTTTGAAACAATATCAGGAAGATGGGGTTTGTTAGCTGCATCACACTGTTGGGAGTCGAGTCGTTCTCGGAAGTTTCCAACAACACATTCACACATATGGCGAGGTATGGGCCGTATGGCCATAACCTCTGCTGCAATAATCTGTTCCCTTAGCTGTGGTAGGGTGTGAGAGTGACTTCTGAACCCCTTTCTTTTAGATGTCTCCAAAGAAAGAAATCGCAAATGCTTAAATCAGGTGACCTCGCAGGCCACTGTAAATCACCCCTCAGAGACACCAGACCTACGGGGAACATGCGTTTCAAAACATTGAGTGACATTCGAGCTGTGTGAGCTGTAGCCCTAGCCTGCTGGAACCACACGTCTCTCAATGCTTCATTTTCAACAATATTTTCCATCATGGGCTGCAAGAAATTTTGCAACATTGCAGCATAGCAGTCGGAATTCATTGTCATGGTTACTCCCTCCTCTGAAAACGACTCCAACAGTGTGTTGCAACTAACAGCCCCCATCTTCCAGATATTGTTTTCAAAACATAAGTATTCTAAATGGTATGTTATGCTAACCTCTAGGAAAATAAACTTTCTTCTTTATGTACCTCCATTACTCTTTTATTTTACCTCAAAACTGCTCAATCGGTTCTGCTCCACCCTGTATATTGAGAGGTTGAGATTGTATTGACTTTTTAGGCAATGAGAAAGATTTCCACCCTAATACGAGTATTCTAATTAAAATATTTAATTTCAATCTTTAAATATGTGAATTGAAAACTAGAAACAAAACAATTACAATTATAAGACTATATATAAAATAATTAAATGCAGTGAATGGATATAAAATTAAATCACAATACCATACCAGTAACCCGGCAGCATGAGAGACAGTCAGAACACAAAATATAATTCAACCAGTACCACCAATCAATACCACCAGCGCTACCCTTAAAAAAGCCAGTAACAGCCTCTACACTGAAACCATTTACTCATATCACACATCAGAACTGCTCAACTGCTGGCTTCCTCCACTACCAAATACAGGCAAATCTGAACTATCCCTTCACAGATCAACAAGATGGGCAATTTTTTACTGGTCACTGCTTACCCTTAAACTGTTATTACAACAAAATCAACAATAACATCGTTTGGAGAGACCCAGCTGTGACCGCGTATTGGTTTTAGCCTTGGCTGGGCCAGAAAAGCCAGTAAAAATTGGATTTCTTGACTCTAATGCTCAGAATTTGACCACTGCTTTTGTTTCCTCATTGATGACAGTTTTCTGCACATGAAGTTGGGCCAGCTCTGCTGTATGTATGGATCTTATATTCACCCAAGCAGGCCATGGACTGCCTCAAAATAAAATAGCTATTGATGGGAACCCAAGTAATTCATTGTTGTCACATGCTGTGTGGTGATATTACCAATCCAATCATTTCTAGAATGTGATTCCAGATACATGAGAAAAAGTGAGGATGTTACGTTTGATGCAACTGTTTCCAGCGCAATACCTCATCTTCATACACTGCATGAACTAGATGACTTCTTTGATCTTCGCATATGGTGAAGGATTTGATCTTCGCATATGGGAAATCGAAGGTATTGCCATCTATTTCCAAATATAAAAAATCATTAGATTTCACTAGCAGTATTAATATGTAAATACTTAACTAGCAAGAATGAAATGAAACTATGGTGATTTAAAACTTTTGAGGAAATCTTTAAAAAATTATTGTTTAGTGAAAATTAGAGAAAGGCGAAATTGTTTATGCATACCTGATTTGATACCAGAGCAGAAATGTTCTGAGAAGAGTTTGGGTGAGCATTGCAAGCCTCAACTTTAGTTTCCATCTTGAACGGCACACAAGAGGAGAGTGTAGATGCCGGGCTGAGATGCACAGGTGAACAAGCCTGAGGAGATGTGGAGGACAATGTTGATGTGGCTGCTAGTGATGTGAGCATTTTACAAGATATAGTAGTATATGACTCTTGTGACTTTCTGGAGAAAAGTGGAAGACAATGTTGATGTGGATGTAATTATATGTGCATTTTATGAGGAAGAAAATTATTATATTGGAGTCCTCATAGAATTCTCTACAAATTTCTAATTTCACAGCAGCACATGAATCACAAATTACTGGTTAGAAAATGTCTTCTCATATCAATGCTTCATAAGGCACACATTTTACTTGTTTTTTTTTCAAATTCAAATAGATACATAGGCATATGGGTCAATTTCAGAAAGAAAGGTACACTTTTAGCATGTTTTTCTTCAATATTTCTTTATTGAACCTCTTTATTTGTATTGTCCTGATGTTTCATCACTTTAATTAAAAATATGTTTCAATTGACAGGAATGTTCTCCAGTACCTACTATTCTTTGCAATTCTCCACTATATTCTCATCTATTCATTGGCAAACAAGGAAGTAGCACTAAAACAAGAAAATTTGGAAATTTTTGCAGGATTCCTGTCAATTGGGGCCATCACATTTCATCTTAATTTGACTACAGACAAAATGGGAAAAAATAATAGATGTGGATTTAGAATAGCAAAGCCAATGCAAGCAATTATGAGTCAAATTTCCTACAACTTTTAACCAATTATTGAATGACAATGAAGGAGCTTTGAAGGAGCTATTACTGCTCAATATTTAAGACATAATATTGGGTTAAGATTTGCTTCCTGATGCCTAACTTGATGATTTGATTATAAAATAGAATTATGTAATTTTTTCATGAAAATTTATGCAAGAACTTTCAATGCTTTGCTAAACATTTATTTGCATATCACTTCACCTACCTCATTTTCATTTACAAATGGTTCCTCTTTGATGGATACTTCTTCAGTTTCACCCTCAGGCTCCTCCTTGATGTAGATAGCAGGAACTTCAAGGATTGGTGGAGGGTCAACCATTCCAAAGGCTGGAAAATATATATTGGTGTACTGGTACCAACTGGTTAATGAGCAATACCGGTATATCACTTAGTAAATATAATGCTCACCAAATTAATGAGTCATGTGAGCAGTAGAAAATGGTTCATGTCACTCAGATGAGTGACTCGTATGAGGTAATAAATTCAAATACATAGTTATCAAATCTTGCATTGAAAATATATTGAATAGCAGTTGATTATTATGGCACATGGCATTTTCCTTACCTTCAGTCTTTATTTTGCTGCCACCAGGAGACGCTCGAGCGAGGCTCTGCTCAGGGCAACTGCCACTCCTGACTGCAGCATCCATTACTAAATGTGATGCTAGTTATGAATCACTGAGGTTGAAGTTTTTAATCAATAATATTAGCTGTAATGGTAATAACACTGGAAGCATACAGGAAATTGTGAAGTGCAATAGAGTCTCATAAGTAGGCCTTAATTTTAACACATGCAATAAAATTCACTTGTCACAAGTTAAGTTACTTTAGCACATGATTGATTGCTTTATGCATGCATCAGCAACAATTGATGCTGGCAACTTGGCAAAATTTGAATATGACATATCTATAGAAACAAAAATCGTCTTGAAATAGATGTGAAATTCCACAGTATAGACATCAAAGCCACGATTTTCAGGGAGCATTCCTGGTCCAAAACAGAGCTAAAAACATTTTTGAATACACATAGTAATGTAAACATTGCTAAATTAAGGTGCTATATTGAAGGAGTTTAAATAACTGAGCTCTAGTTAATCCTCATCATCACATAAGTAATTATAACCTAATCAACTAATCACTAAGCAACATGAATTGGTCATTTTGGAATAGATCTATCCTCTTAAATAATTGACCATAACATATTAATGCATTTAATAGTGATAAAAGTTATACCTACTTGCTTATACTTGTATACATTCTTGAACATGCTAACTCTGTGTCATCTGTGTCAGAACTGAGTCAAGACTGCTTTTATAGCAAAGTAGTTTAGAAACAATGGAGGATATGCCAAGTCATCATGATTAATAGTGATTTTTTATTTCTTCAGCATTGTAACAATAAATTATTTGATCTTGAACTTTTGCTTTGAGTTCCAAATTTTGTTTTCAGCTCAGCTGAAATTAAAGGTGGAGGCCTCTGGTGTTCTGCTTGGTGGCACAAAAACAGGGGGTGACATGACATGCTGTAGTAAATTATTGCACTATAAAACAATATTTTTTTAAATATGACATAAAGGTGATTTGACAGAGGCATAGAGTTAATAATTATTTTTTGCATGGCACAACAGGACCTGCTGCTGTTGTCATTGCTCATCCTGGTACTGGCAACTAGGTGAGAGAGGGAGCACTAGTTCCATCCAGAGCACTAGTTCCGTCCAGAGCACTAGTTCCATCACTGGACCTATCACATCGCCATCCACATTTAGTTCCATGACCATCACTGGCATGCTAGCATTTCTTGCATGTATAGCATTTCTTCTGTATCTGTAAGCTTACAGGACTGGGTTTGAAATTTTGCACCATTTTAATTGGGTCAAGTAAACTCACCATACTAAAAAAATATTTATAGTGAGGATATAGTCATGCATGAACCAAAAGGAACATTTTAGTGACAACCATCATATTTTTTAGAGAAATAAATCATATTTTAGGTTAATTACATTTCATTCTATGTTGCCCAGTGCACAATTACTGTCAAATGGAGTAATAAGGGAAGGTTTTGAGCATTTTTAGCGCATTTTCTCATTTATGGGAAAGAGGCGCTATTGTGCTTGTCATATCCATCTGTCTGTCTGTCTGTACATCTGTCTGTCTGTCTGTCCGTCCGTCTGTCCATGACTTCATGTTTTCATCAACGAGTAAATGCACGCTGTCACTCACTGCAGTGAGTGCTGAGTTATTTTTTGTTAATAATTTCTTACCGTGAAACATTTCATAAATGAGTTTGGGCTCATTTCAAAGCTTTTTGCAGAGGCTATTATATATAGCTCAATGCCGATAAAACTGTCAATTGAAGCTGCAATGCGATTCACAAATTTAGACGTACAACTATTTATATATGGCATCTTTGAAAAAATTCCATTTTCTATTTGTAAGGTGCCAGACACAAATAAAAGCATCCCAAATTACCCCCAGGAACTATGTAATCCAGGACACTTGAAATAAAACCTAATTTTAAAACGTTTGAAGCATGGAAACTGTACTCATCTATTATTAACAGTACTCTGAAGACCTCCTCTTCCTTTGTAGAGTATTTACATGTATAATAAATGACATTTTTGAAATTTTTACTTGTTTTTCCAATATTGATAAGATATTACCATATCCATACATTACCGAATAATTGATGTGATACCGTCAAACGGGATGGACGGGGTGATAAGGTACAGTCCTCTGACATTTTGTAGAAATGTTGTAGCAGCTAAACTATTTAAAATATTGCGAAACAAAAAATAGTGGCTTAAAGTTCAACATTTTTCCCATCTATGTAGCAAATCCTTGAAAAATCCTTGGAAATCCTTGAAAAATCCTTGAAAAATCCTTGAAAAATCCTTGAAAAAAGTATGAAAAGTGAGATTTCAGAAAAGTACCTCTGCTAAGGTCTCTACCAAAAAAATATTCACCAAATTAAAAAAGTTTATTTACATAAAAGTAGCACTTGGGTATGACTTAAAAATGTAATTGACAGAATTAGCCTATCTCATTCCAGAAAAAAATGGCGGCCATTTCCGCAAGATGGGATAATAAGGGACACCCCCCGGGGTAATAAGGGACACCCCTAAAAATGCATTTACAGTAGAGCCTTGGTTAGCAGAGGCTCCAGTTAAAAAAAATCAATTGACCACAAAGAATTTTGATTATATTTACCTCTCTCAGCAAATAATTTCACTTCGACAAAAAATTAGTGCATCATTGGTCATTGTCAAACTGTGCATAGAATGTCATAGATAGAATTGTTCACTAGGCAATATAAAATGAAAAGTAATTAACCTAAACTATGGTTTTTTCCCCAAAAATATGATGGTTGTCACTAAAATATTCTATTCTGTTTCAGGTATGTTTTTACAACTATTTTTTGTTATAGTGAATTCACTTGACTCAGTTAAAATGGTGTGAACTTACAAGCCGTTCTGTAAGAACAAAAGAAATGCTACATGACTGCTGATATGATGCTTGCAGTGGACAAAGTTGTTGTCTATGTTCAATGGCATGTCCATGGATTAGGTACCAGTAATATCACATCAGTAGTATGGTAATGTATGGATAAGGTAATACCATATAAATAAAGGAAAAATAAGTATAAATCACAGAAAATGTCATTTATTCTACATTTACATCATCTACAAAAGAAGGGGAGGACTTCAGAGTACAATTAGTAATGGATGAGCACACTCTGCATGCTTCAAACGTTTCAAAATTGAGTTTTATTTCAAGTGTGCCTTATTACCCCACCCCATTCCCAGGGTAGGTTCAGGAGGCTTTTATTTTGCGCCTGGCATCTCACTAATAGCATATGGAATTTTTTGGAGATGCCATACAATTTCATTTGCAAATACCTTTAAAATGAGCCCAAACTCTTTTTTGAAATGTTTCATGGTAAGAAGTTATTAAGGAAAAACACTCAAAACCGTCCCTTATGACCCCGTTTGACAGTATTACCATATCTATGAACATGCCATTGAGCAGTTACAATGACCTTGTCCACTGCAAGCTTCATATCAGCAGCCATATAGCATTTCTTCCGTATCTGTAAGCTTATGGGACAACTTTTGATTTCACACCATTTTAATTGGGTCAAGTGAATTCACTATAACCAAAAACAATTTGAAAACATACTTGAAACAGAAAGGAATATTTTAGTGAGAATCATCATATTTTTTGGAAAATTAAATCATAGTTTAGGTTAATTACTTTACTTCCATGTTGCCCAGTGCACGATTCTATACAAGACATTCTATGCACAATTTTGTGATGACCAAAGATGCATTAATTTTTTTGTTAAATGAAATTTTTTTGCTGAGTGAGGTAGTTGTAATCAAAATTTTTCATTGTTAATTGATTTTTTGGTTAACTGGAGCCTTTGCTAGCTGAGGTTCTACTTTAAATGCATTTTAGGGGTGTCCCTTATTACCCCGTCGTGCGGAAATGGCAGTCATTTTTTTCAGAATGAGATTCGCAAATTCCATGAATCACGTTCTTAAGCCAAGACCTGTGTGCAATGTTTATGCAAGTGAAATTTTTAAATATGGTGAATATTTTCTTTTGCTACAGACCTTAGCAGAGGTACTACTTTTCCAAAATGTCACTATTAACACTTTATTCTGGGATTTTTTAGAGGTAGTAAATGTATGATTAGATAATTTGCTTTATGGTATGCTACATAGATAGTATAAATGTTGAACTTTATGCCACTATTTTTAGTTTTGTAATATTTTGATTAGTTTAGCTGCTACAACATTTCCACAAAATGTGGGATGACTGTTCCAATTTACCCCACCCGTCCTTATTATCCCATTTGATGGTACTTTTTTAAAATATCACTTTTCAACATTTTTTCAGGGATTTTTTTAGAGCTAGTAAATATATGACTTCTCAACTTTCTTTATGCTACCTAAACAGGAAAAATGTTTAAATTTAAGCCACTATTACTAATTTTGCAATATTTCAAGTAGTTTTGCTGCTATCACATTTTTATGCAATGGCAGAGGCCTGTCCTGGTTTACCCTGCCCGTCTCTTATTACCCTGTTGGACGATACCTCTTCTGCTGCAGAAAGTGTAGTGTATATCTTTGCAATTTTTAGTGCCTTTTTGAATATGTCCTTGCAACATTTTTTGCCATTTTTTTATGTATTACTGATAAATAATCACAAGGTACACTATTTGCTTTGATTTTTCCAAGTTAATGTAACGATTCTTAGCCCTGCTGCTGTTTTTTGATAATGGTTTTCCAGCATTCCATGTGATCTACATTGTTATAATTTTGCATGAAAAACTGGCCATTGTCATCCATTGCCTGCTAATTCTTGACCAGGCAGTTTGCACTGTTTGTAAATTTTAAATTTGATGTCTTGATATACCGAGGTATCTTATATTTCAATTAATGGCAATTACATTTAGCCAAATTAGAATCTGAAAGAGTTCTTCTTATCAGTGCCTAATTTGCCCAGTCATGGCCAACTAGCCTGTAGATTTATTCATTTTTAAATGATATGTTTCCTGTCATGTGCTGAATTTCTGTAAGTGGAGAGAACCT